TTTTTTCTGTCCATGTTACCACACAAGAAACACAGCTGACCAGTTCAGACAACTACCTCTTAGATATCTAAATCCAGGTGAAATGAATCCCACTTTACTTGACCCTGTTTTATACAAGGCAACTGGTATCCAAGTACCCCAGTAAGGTTGGAAATCTCAAATTCCCCTCATAAATCTCTATTAAAATGGAGTAAAATGCAATGAAGAATGAACAATGTCAGACTAGGGTGAATGGTTATCGTTATTTGTTTCAGGTGAGGGAAGGTACCTCTGCTCCATCTGGGTCCACTCCACCCAGTAGAAAAAAAAATCATAAACCAGCTTTAAACAGGGGATTTTTCAGAAGACTAGTTTATTTTCATTTTAATCTTCTTCATTGACTCAGTTTTCACAGTTGTTTGACACTTTCTGCTTGTTTGGACTCTGCATGTTTTCACTATGCCTTAAACTTCAGGTAGCTTCATGGGATAAGCAGTTAACACCAAACTGCTGAGCAGAGTATGAGGCAGCACCAACCAACTTGTACTACAAAATTTGTACTGTAAATTAAATATGAATCTATATTTATTTTTCAAATTTCTTAAATAAATATGCAAATATAGTCAAATATTAACTATGTAGGTTTTTTCCTCAATTTTGAAAATCATAGAATAGCATGAGCATATGCTTATAGAAAGCATTGAAAAAACAAATGTCCTGATGACAGGTATACAGATAAAGAAACAACAAAGGATGTGAGTCGTCAGAGTATTTTTAAATGCAGCTAAAGATCCCCACAGACAGAGTCTAAGTGTAAGTCATTAGTGTGACCTGTCTCTGATGTCCTCTTGGGAGAAAAACCCTCTCTTCTGAAATTATACGTGTTATTTTAACAGAAACATTTAAGGATGACTCTACATTTTAAGTAACTTTACCACCACTTCATTCCCAACTTGTGATTCGCAACTATTAGCACAAGTCACTGCATGTATGTTTATTCCTATCTGGACAATCTTTTGGAGTGATCTAAACATTTCCATATCAAGGGATTATATATTTAAAAGCTCCCTCATTTTAGGCAATATAAATGAAAATGTGCTGGTGTGGTTTCCAGCACATTTTGTTTTCCATTATACTAGACTGAATTCCAGCCTTGTTCCACGAGACTCAATACCCTCAAGTACCCCTACATGCAATGCATACTACTCACATCATACTATAATAAACAAGTCACTGGTCGGATGAAACACGATTCTGTAGTTATGTCATGTAACTTGAGTTGGAAGAAAAGAAAGGTAATAATAAGGAAGGACTTTTTCTGAGATCCTGCGGGCATCAGAGAAGTTTGCATGGAGATCTAGATAAAACGTTATGCAAAATTTCCTGGACATTTCATTCTGAGGGGGACTAGTCTTGAGCAAAATGAAAGTAAAACCCTCTGGACCCCTTGGCCGGTTTTTAGGGAGTCAATTCCTTCATCAGTGTAGAAGAAGATAATAATGAGCATAATGAACGACCTACGAAGTTGTCAATATCTCATTGCTGACACACAAGATGAGTGACTAAATTCTTAACTAGGCAGCTCAGCTGAGCTTCTGAATATAGGAAAATCTGTACTCAGGGGTTTATCTCACTCAGCACTAAAAGTACCTAACAATTCTCTCCATTTTTTGCTAATTTTATGAGTGTTTTGTAATGGGTTAATCCTTTCTAGAGCACATTCGAGTAATTTGTGTCTTAACTCTTTTCTTTTGGATAAGATAAATCCCTGTCAATTCTTATTTCTCTCCACTCTTTAATTTACGACAAACAGCTTATATATTTACAACGTCATGACAGGTCTTTCAATGTGGGATAATTTATATCTATCTTCCTTGTCACACCTGTATAGCCAGGAAAGTCAAATCCTTCCCATGGGGTATGAAGCCCCAAATCCCTTTTTCTCAGCTAAGATAGACATCCTTTTTAATATTCCCCATGTTGATTAGAAGAGAAGCGTTTGAGAAGATCTGGTTTATGGGCAACTGTACACCTTTTTCAGCAATTTCATACAGTTTTAGTCACAAAATTTTGAAAAAGTAATTCATCAAAATGAGGGATGTTGCTTATTTTCGTTTCTATTTCTGCCTACTGGAAGATTACCAGACCTTCTCTTTTCAGGGCTGAAGTATTTTTTTAGGCTCAATGACTAATATTTTTGCCAGGCTAGAGAAGAGAAAGGAAACAATTTGTTTCTTTGATTGGTCCCTATGGAAGAACAAACCAAATGCACAGATGAAGTCTTAAGGAAAGTGGAGAAATAATAAACAGCTGTCACAGCACACCCTCTCTGAACTTCAAACACTCCATTCAATGTCCGTGCAAGGACTCAAATTTGTAAGTGAAATAGAAGTATTTACTAATCTACTATTTCTTATCATAAATATTAACAACAATTCCTTTAAGTCTGCTGAGTACTATAGTGGCTGATGAATCTAGTAAAAAAAAATTACAGAAAATATGGGGGTTATTTAAATCTTTTTAGTCGGCGCCACACAGTAAATCTTAGATCTCACAGAACATCCATGAAGTTTCATGCAAAGAAAAGGAAGTGAAGCAGTATCTTTCAACTGAAGATATGTTTTATAAATCCCTTCCCTTCCTTTTCCTTCCCTTCTTAAATGCAATGATTCATTCAAATACCTGTGACAAAAAGGACCTACAGTTACAAATGACACTGTTGCAAGCCTCTGTAGTTAGACACTCAAAAACTCAATGCATTTTTATTGTTAATATATTAGACTACAAGGATAAGGAGTATTGAAACATTTTTCAAGAAATTATTCATGGTATTATTTGTATGATTTTATTTCATTTCCAAAAAATTTGTGCCTCAAAGCCTTTAGAAATGAAATATAAAATTTGGGAAATCCAACCCTGGCTTTTTTACAGTTAATAGAGAAAAACATGAAAGAATCTCAAGGTTGTTCACCCAGCTACATAATATGTCATCTGACTGTAACTTTGCTAGTGTCTCTTTTCCCCCATTGATTAGACATCAGCAAATGTGATTCAGCTCTCAGATAAAGGGTTCTTAATTTTTTTGTCTAAGTGTAGAAATGTGTTGGGTGTTAAGATTCAGTTGCCTTAGTGTAGGTGTGTAGTACTCCTTGAGGTATCCTAGAATATATCCTCCAAATATTGTTTCAGAATCATAGAATCATTTGATTGGAAAAGACCTATAAGATCATCGAGTCCAACTGTAAACCTAATACTGCTAAGCCCACCACTAAAACATATCCCTAAGTACCATGGATACGCCTTTTATATACCGCCAGGGATGGTAACTCAACCACTTCCCTGGGCAGCCCGATCCAGTGTCTGATAACACTTTCAGTGAAGAGTTTTTTCCTAATATCTAATCTGAAACTCCTCTGGCACAACTATAACGTCATTTCCTCTCATCCTATAGCTTGTTACTTATGAGAAGAGACCAACATCTACCTCGCTATACCATCCTTTCAACGTAGTGGTAAGAGGGTACTAAGGTCTCCCTTCAGCCTCCTATTCTCCAGGCTGAACATGCACAGTGCCCTCAGCCACTCCCCATCAGCCTTGGGCTCCAGACCCCTCCCCAGCTTCATTGCCCTTCTCTGGACACACTCCAGCCCCTCCATGTCCTTCTGGGAGTGAGGGCCTCCAACACTAAACTCAGAATTTGAAGTGCGGCCTCACCAGTGTCATCATTGTGAGAAGGCCATCTGCTGACTGATAAGACATATATTGTATAGATGAGGCTATCTCAAGTAACAGTAAGTAACTATATTAGACAACTGATTCCATCTGTAAGTCTCTGAACTTCTACTGTTGGTGAACAGAACTACATTGGTATTTACAAGAAAGTCATAGTATCAATTTAATCTAACAAAATTAACTTGGATAAGTTGTCTACTTTTGAGATGCCCAGAAATATCCTGCCCAGCCTCCAGCTGTCATTTCAGAAGGACAGAGGTCCCCTACAGATCCTGCGTTATGTCTACCTGAAATTGATAATTCCAGTACCAAGCAGCATCTCACCTGTTTTTAGGCAACTATTTATCGGCGAGTCAGTCCCTCAACACACAAGTCAGCTGCCTGAAATAAGACTTAGGTCTAGGCTGTCCCACCTCGCCTGGAGGTTCTTATTCCAGAAATGCACGGGGCTACTGTAAATCTTGTGTCATATCCTTCCTAGCCATTTGGACAGCTCAGACATCTTCCGCTTTCTGAAGTGGTACTATATATCTATGTGTACCCAACTGAATCTTGCGCTTACCATTAGAAAGCAGACTCCAACACTCTTTAATTATTCAGGCTTGAGTGCTGCTTAAACAAGAACTGGAATATATTACACAAAATGGGAACAAGCTGGCAAATTTCTCAAAACACTTTGAAAATGTGAGACAATATAAGGAGTTTTCAAATTGGGTTTTGGATTAAGTCCACAATTTCTGGAAACCTGGGCTGTGGAGCAGAAAAGTTTTGTTTATGCTTATTATTTTAACTATGTTGAAGTTATAGCTTGAATTCTGACCTTTATTAAAGTTTCAACCTTAAAAATAATAATGCCTTGGTGATGATTTATGTAAATACTGATATTGGTGTTGATAATATTGTGTTATCATAAGAAGTATCTAGCGTGACTGATTTTCTGGCAGCTCTTCGCAAATTCACAAAGAAGTTCGTTGCACAATTTAGAAAAGTACTAGATTTAATAATAGATAATTCCCTCTAGAAGGTGAAGGAGAATTTATACATGATGTCACTGACAGAATTCAGAATTGTTGTTCTTTCATTCTAAATATTATGTCTTTGAATAATTTAAAAATTAATAAAAGTAATATTTACAGCAGTACAAACATTAGTATTAATTTAACTGTAGTGTGAAAGAAATGTAAAACAACTGTAGAATGAGACAGAGAGAGAGAAAGCTATTCTAATGTCTTATAATCCGTAATAATAAGTCACTGCTGTCATTGTCTTTACAGAAGTGCATAGGAGCCATGGAGGTGAGCAATCACAGCATGGTCAAAGAATTCATTCTCCTTGGATTTCCCATTGCTCCTCACTTGCAGATTCTCTTCTTTGCAGTATTTCTCATTGCATTTCTCTTAGTTTTAGCAGAAAATATTATAATCATCCTGACTGTCTGGACAACTCATAGCCTCCACTCCTGCATGTATTTCTTCCTGAGTAACTTGTCCTTCCTGGAGATCTGGTATGTGACAGTCACACTCCCTAAGACAATGTTGAGCTTTCTGTCAAGGACAAAGCAAATCTCCTTTACAGGATTTATGACACTACTGTACTTCTTCCTCAGCCTGGGCAGCACCGAGTGCCTCCTCCTGGCTGTCATAGCATATGATTGCTACGTTGCCATTTGCAAGCCTTTCCACTATTCCACTATCATGAGACACACTGTCCACCTTACTATGGGACCTTGGTTGACTGGTTTCTTAATTTCTGGAAGCAAAATATTTTTTTATGTCTCACCTGTGGACCCAAAAAATCAACCATTTCTTCTGTGATGTTTCTCCTCTCCTGAACTTAGCCTGCGCAGATATGGAAAGAGCTGCTTTAATGGATTTCGTGGCTGCCTTATTTATTCTCCTGATGCCTCTGTCCATAATAGTACTATCCTACACCTATATTATCCTCACTGTCCTTCACATTTCATCTGTGATGATAGTTTGCCAAATAGCCTTCTGCACCTGCATCTCCCACCTTTTAGTGGTCATTGTCTTCTATGCAACAAGCGTTTTCATCTATGTGAGGCCCAAAACTCTCCCAGTTCATGACACAAAAAAAATTGTGTCTGCTGTCTATTGTGGTGTTGTTCCTCTCTTCAATCCCTTCATTTACTGCCTGAGGAACCATGAAATCAAGGATGATCTCCAAAAGATCTTGTTCAGGAAAAGATTTTCCTTGCAGAAACATTAGCAGGTTTAATGACAGAAAAGAAGAGATTGTACAGGTAAGAGAACCATATAGAAACAATTGGATTTTATTATTACAACACTTCATGAAAAGCTCTGGTTTGTGCTTCAGAAGCTGAAACAAGATGGTCCAAATATTTTTTTTGAAATTTAAGAATTACAGAGAACTTATGGATACAAGTGAAACAGTCTTATGCATGTTCTTCTGTCATTCTGAGCCCCACCAATGACTTGTTTTAAGGGAAGACAAAGTTAAAAGTGGTTTTAAGGGCAGGGGAGATGCCCTTAACTTTGCTTTAGCAGTCAGATTTCGAATATAATCAATAGATACAAGTTTATATAGAAAGGCAAAGTTAGGCAAGATTATCTGAATTTCTCTCCATGCCATCTTTCATTCCTTCACTGAATACATGAGGAAACCATTCCCATTCTCTCTAGCCTAGGGTGAAAGCTATCCAATATTTAGGAATAGTTATCTACATAAAGACAGAAGGAGCAAGTCAAGATAGCAATAAATTATATGAATATGCTGTCAAAATATCTCCCACGCCCAACCTGAAGCAATTACCTCTGGGAGAAGAGGTCTCATCTCAAATTTGAGATTCAAAGGGAGGATGCAGCACTTCATATCTCTGGGAATGCCTATTGTGTCTTGCTGAAGCTGGAAGATGGTTTTTGTGCCTGTGAGAAGCCTATGCTGTTTGAGGATCATTGGCAACAAATTAAGGAGATACCGAAGGAGGTCAGCAGACTATATGATATCAGAGATGATGATAAAATCGATTGACAGGATCTTTTGAGATCCTGCAGTTAAAAGTAGGAACCCCCACCCATACAGAAGGAGGGAGAGCCATAGTGAGTCCATATCAGGTTGGGTAATGGAAGCACCATGACAGTAAAGGCTGGAAGCTTGTGACTTTTAGCAAGAGAAGGAAGGCTTTTCTCTCTGCAGATCTACAGCTACAGAATGGTTTCAAAGCCCTCGAAGTAAATAGGTGGCTGAACGCTCTATCCAAAGAAGAATCAGTGTCATCTGAGCCTGATCTACACAGCAGTACCACAAGGATGTGGCAAGTCACAGTCATAGGAGGAATCCCCTCTGTGGGGTGTAGAGACCTGACCTGTCAACCTGAGGGGCTACCTAGAAAGATTTGCTGCTTGACAGTGGCTCAGTTCAGAGGATGATTTGCAGAGACTGTTGTGGTGGCCTAACCTTGGCTGACTGCCATATGCCCACCAAACCACTTTCTCATTCCCCGTCCTCAGCAAGATGGAGGGAGAAAATAAGATGAAAAAGCTCATGGGTTGAGCTAAAGGACAGGGAGATCATTTACCAGTAACCATCATGGGCAAAGCAGACAAATTAGGTACAATTAATTTAAATTAATACCAATTAAAAATAGAGTAGGATGATCAGAGAAAAGACAAATCTATAAAGAAGTTTACATTAGATATTAGGAAAAAATTCTTGACCTACATGGTTGTCAAGCATTGCAATGGCTGCCCAGGTGTCCTTGTTTCAGCTGGGACAGAGTTAATTTTCTCCCTAGTAGCTGGCATAGGGCTGTGTTTTGGATTTAGTACAGAAGAATGTTGATAATGCCCTGATGCTTCAGTTGTTGCTGAGCAGGGCTTACCCCAGGCAAGGACTTTTCAGCTCCACCTGCTTTGCCAGGGGCACAAGGAGCTATTCCAGACCATATGACATCATGCTCAGGGGGAATTAGCAGGAGAGGGCAGGGAGAGTGATAACTGCTCAGGACGGTCAGCATGTGGTGAGCAATTGCATTATGCATTAATTGTTTTGTATATTCTATTACCATTATTATTGTTACCGTTATTCTTTTATGAAACTGTCTTTATCTCAACCGACGGGTTTTACTTTTTTTCTGATTCTTTTCCTCATCCCACTGCGGAAGGGAGCAGTGAGAGAGAGGCTAGGGGGTGTTCAGCTGCCTGACAGGTTACACCACAACACCAAGGAAGTAGTTGTGTCACCATCCCTGGAGGTATTTAAAAGATTTGTAAATGTGGTACTTAGGTTTAGTGGTGAGATGGCAGTGTTAGATTAAGGGTTGTATTTGAGGATCTTACAATTCTTTTCCAACCTAAATGATGCTATGATTCCATGGTTCTATATTATCAGAATAACAGGTTTATTGTCCTGCACTAACCCATACTGATTAAGTACAGGGCTGCTCAGCACAGATTCCAGAACAGCCCTAATGATATTGTTTTCTACCCCTCTTAATCCCTTTTTCTCCCTTTCCTTCCTCCAAATAAACAAGTCATCCTTATTTTATTCTTTGACACTTCAATTTTGCTGAATTTGCAAACTCATATGATATCTCTATCCTTAGTACATAACACCTTATAAGCGACAAGCTGTTTGAGTATCTTTTGATATCTTTCACCCTGGAGAAGTTCCTACTGCCCATTCACTGCCTTACAATCAGGTGTCTTCGCCCATCATTGTTTTGTTGACTAGACTTATGAAGCACTCCAAAAGAACAAATGGTTTTTAAACTTAAATGACACATCTTGTTGCAAAATATATAACGACTGTGAGCTTATCTTAATACAAGAAGTCTCAGAATAATCTGCATTAAATAGAAGTACAATGTGTTTATAAACAGGTCCTTTCACTGCAGAAGCTAGTATTTTTGCAGGAGAATTTATTTTCTAATGTTGATTTGAGGCCACTATCGCGTCTTTCTTCATAGGAAGTCCTTCTGTCCCCAGCATCAGAGGCTGGACTCTGTGTTTACTCCCTGCTCTTCTTTGCATTTTCACAGTCTCTGTTATACTGCGAAGTCTCCCTTTGTTTTTTTGTTTCACATCCCCTTCTTTTCCTTTCTTCTCTATGGGTCATTCAGCTGTGTGGAAACTGAGCACCATGTCAGGAGGAATCCCTTCCAACATATCGGCTGTCAGAGAGCTTTTCCTAAACAAGACAATCCTTACTTAGATAAAACCAACATCATTCACAAAAAGTAAGCAAAGAAAGCAAATGTGATATATTACATCAGAATACCAAAGTCACCAGATAGTGCTACGACAAAGTTTTTCCATCTTTCTCATCAACTTCTTATATTTGGTCTAAATAGCTGAACCTCCTTTACAGTCACTAAGGCACCTCAGACAAGACACCACCAATGTTGTTCATAGTGTCACCGAAAATGGGAGGAATCAACCTCGTAACACCAATGTAGTGTTAAAAGGCAGGCATTCTTTATTCACGGCGCCAGATGCACGGGGGATTGCTCCACCTAACGTGCATACCTGGCACCTGTTCCAATCAGGTTATATTGATCAAATACATGCATATTCATTACATTCATGCATAATCAATAACATCTTCTCTAACGATTGGTCCAAATTCTCTCGCTTCCTATGTAAATTACTGCACAGACTCAGTTGTGCACTTCCATTGTTCTCTTTTGAGTAGGTGGTATCATTTGGGTAGGTGGTCAATGAGTCAGTGGTCGCAATCTCCCCCTGCTGGAATTACCTCCTACCTGCTGGGCTCTCTATCTGGGTAGTCCTAGCCAACTTTCCTGGTCCGTTGCATGGAATTACCCTTCATCTTCTTCCCCTGACAGGTGCACATTGTCTATAGCTTCAGCTACATTAAGAATGACCTTAAAACTACAGACCATATACTATTCTCATTGTTCTGAACTTAGTGTTCAGCTGGGTAGGGCTGTACAGAAGAGAACATAGCAGCATTCGTGGTTGCATTTTGTAGTTAACTGATTTGATCCCATCACCCCAATGCTGAAAACTAAGATACATAACAATTTCATCATCATTTTGGTTACAATAACTTCTCAGCTGCCCATTTCCTCCACTACAGCGGAGACCTATGAGATATGGCCAGCTGAGAGCTACCATGTAATTTTTCTCATCTTATGGTAGACATGGAATAAAGTAAGACAAATTACACCATAGGACTATTTTTTTTTAGTGGTTTTTGCTGGGATAGAGATAAATTTCTTCATAGTTGCTGGTATGGGGCTATGTTTTGGATCTGTGCTTATAACCGTGTTGATAATACAGGGATATTTTAGTTACTGCTGAGCAGGGCTAACACAGAGTCAAGGCCTTTTCTGCTTCTCACACTGCCCCACCAGCAAGTGGGCTTGAGGTGCACAAGAAGTTGGAACGGGACGAGCTGGGTAGGGATTATTTATAGATATTTATAGGGATTATTTATAGGTAATTATTTATTTCATGTTAGATGAAAATTTAAAGAGGTAGGAATTATTTACATGATTTGGATAATGATCTTTATCCGACAGACCATTCTCTTTTAAAAGATGTTCTGGTTATGATGATATAAGAAACAGTATTAATGCTCAGGCACATAACTTTCATAACTATCCCAGTCGGTATTTGATCTATCAAACCATCACACCACGCTAGCATCTTAAGCAGACATCTAAAACAGATCAAGTGTCCTGTACTCAGAAGCTGACTTACTGTCTAGATCTACAGTATACATGCCTTTTGTCTACTACAAAATTGAGATAGCTAGCTCAAACATGTCTGAGAAGTAGTTCTGATATAAAGGGGGCAGATGGGTTTATCTCAGTGTGGACAGCTATTGTTGTTTTTATATACTTGGAATATCTCACCTGGCCACCAGAAGCCACTCAAGTAGTGAACAGGCCCTTTTATTAAACTTTTCACTTTGCTGGCACCATATAATGTCTGAGATAGCTGTGGGAACATAAAATGGCAGTGGACACACAATGGTCAGGTAACAAAAGCCCACCTAGAAATGAATCTTGAGATTTAAGGTAGCACACACAAGACAGGGAGAAGTTCAGAATGAGAATAACCAAATAAATCGGCTACCATAGAGAGATTTGCAACACACCTCACTATTTGCACACATTATCAGTATCTGTACATTTAAACAAGTCAGAATAAACATGAGACAGTCTTCTTTCATTAATGATGAGATAGGTAGAAAGAAGAAATCCTGTTCTACCACTAGAA